GCACAAAGCGATCTCAGCGTTTCTCCCATTCTTTAACGTTGACTTACGTTAGTCGTAACGCTAAGATCGCTTTGTGCAGGTGGTCACTGGTCGTGCTGCTTTGTGCACTGGGGATAGCTACGGACGAGTGGAGGTTGTCTGGCTCTATACCGTGGCGATTGTAGGTGATTTCAACCCTTCTGTTGGATAAACGACGATGTGGAAGCCAATCTAGCCCATTATGTAGCATTGTACTGTAGGATTTTACACAACCATGTTGTATGACGTGTGATATCCATGCCACAGACATGAACGGATGACGGCCCTTTACGTCACTAGTTTGCTGACGTTTTCTGTCCAGTCGGCTGACAGTCGATGGATGACAGCATGCATCTCTTGCAATAGCCCTTAATGACATACAAATAACTTGCCACATTTGAGCAGTTGTCAGTTGTGGAGGCCCCATATTTGTTACCAACAACAAAATCAACTGTTTCTATAGGTCATCGAGCTGTAAAAACTCTTTTTTTTAACTTAATATAAATTTTTGCTTAATGACGGTTATTGCATGTTATACTCGCCTTTGATCGTCACACGTGCATATATAAAATCAATGTATGGTGCACCCGAAGGGTCAAAATAATCATACAAACATAATCATGATATGAATATAAATGGCTATATAGGTGTTAACGTCATGGGTGTTGCGATACTTTTAACCATGTGTATATATTTATCCATACCGAATATGTACATGTATTGAGCTTGACGAGTCGACATTATGACACTACATGTATATCAAAGTTTATGTCCTAACTGGGGGTGAAGCTGTACGCTCTTACCACGGTACGGTACGTATTGTGGTACAAGGCCTTCGGTTCGGTTCAGTATGTTTCGGTTCGGAAATTGATAACTTACTTCCGGGAAAATAGCGGCCCTCAAGCAAAGAAATGTACAAATTTTGACAAATTGATTCGATTTTTAGACATTTTAGAAAGGGTTTAAATATGTTAATAAAATGACGGTACAAAAAACGAATTTTTGGACTGCATTACGGTATACCGAACCGAAGGCAATATACCGCTGTTCTACTAGTACCGCGGTATACCGTTTCAACACCAGTCCTAACAAGAATCCCATCGACCGTTTCTAACAAATGTGAGTGAGTGAGTGAGTTTAGTTTTACGCCACACCCAGCAATATTCCAGCTATATGGCGGCGGTCTGTAATTAATCGAATCTGGACCAGACAATCCAGTGATCAACAGCATGAACATCGACCCACGCAATTGGGAACCGATGACATGTGTCAGACAAGTCAGCGAGCCTGACCACCCGATCCCGTTAGTCGCCTCTTACGACAAGCATGGGCTACTGAAGATCAATTCTAACCCGGACCCTCACGGGCTGTGATATGATATTCCCTATGTTTTGTTTTTAAGCACAATATGAATACTGTTTCAAGATTTATCAGACTCTTTACTCTTAAGAAAAGAAACCGAAAAGGTTGGCCCTTTTTTCTAAACATTTTTTTCAAAGCTAAAAAAAGTCCCCGAAACATTTTTGGGTAAATCTTGATGCAACATTATCTTTTTCGAGCATTTTATTCAAAAAAGCAAACCCGGTCCCTCCAGAATTTCAGATAGTCGGTTCCAAAATCAATTCAGGCATTTAAGTACCCGAGCTCTCTGGTGATCTATAACAAACGCCATTACTCACTTGCGGCTTTATTTCCGTGTCATTATATCTATCAGTGTCACTAACAGACAAATAAAACCTTCCATGACTGAGTAGGCTGGGCGCTGATTTCTCCCTTCAGAAAAAAGAGGAATTCCATTCTTCTCATGTAGTATTGTACGATAAATTCTAGATTTCCCAGACTGCGAATTCGTGTGTCAATGTTCACATAAAAGTATCATAGACTGATGAATTATTATTACAATTTACAAGGTATGCATTATGGTTTCAACTCCCTGCGGAGAATCCAGGAAGACAGGCTTCACATTACCCTAAGATTGTATTAAGAGGAAAGTAAAATGGTATGGATTGGTGGTTCTGTTCATGTTCACAACCATTGGTTTGTTCACCCTGGTGTAACAGACAGACAGACATACACACACACTAGGAAATATAGGAAAAGTACTTACCATAATTATAACCCAAATCAGTAAAATAAATAAATAAACAAATAAATGAATGAATGTACGAACGAGCGAACGAACGATCGAACGAAAAAAAAGTTGAAGAAAAGTAAAGCATATTTTATGGATTATACAAGAACATAGTTTTATAGCCGAAGTATTGAGTGTGGCATTAAAAGGCAAATACAAAGGAGAAGAAGAAGAAGAAAAGAAGAGAAGAAGAAGCAGACTGACTGAGTGTCGTTTTACGCCGCTTTTAGCAATATTCCAGCAATATCACGGCGGGGGACACCAGAAATGGGCTTAACACATTGTGCCCATGTGGGGAATCGAACCCGGGTCTTCGGCGTGACCAGCCAACGCTTTAACCACTAGGCTACCCCACCGCCCCAAGAAGAAGCAGAAGCAGAAGAAGAAGAAGAAGAAGAAGAAGAAGAAGAGGAAGACTGACTGACTGACTGAGTTTGGTTTTACGCCGCTTTTAGCAATATTCCAGCAACATCACGGCGGGGGACACCAGAAATGGGCTTCACACATTGTACCCATGTGGTGATTCGAACCCGGTCTTCCGCGTGACGAGCCAACGCTTTAACCATTAGGCTACCCCACCGCCCCAAGAAGAGGAAGAGGAAGAAGATTAAGAAGAAGAGGAAGCAGAAGAAGAGGAAGAAGAAAGAAGAGGAAGAAGAAGAAGCAGAAGAAGAAGAAGAAGAAGAGGAAGAAGAAGAAGAAGAAGAGAAGAAGAAGAAGAGGAAGAAGAAGAAGAGGAAGAAGAAGAAGAAGAAGGAAGAAGCAGAAGAAGAAGAAGAAGAAGAAGCAGAAGAAGAGGAAGAAGAAGAGGAAGAAGAGAAGAAAGAGAGAAGAAGAAGAAGAAGAAGCAGAAGAAGAAGAGGAAGAAAGAAGAAGAGGAAGAAGAAGAAGAGGAAGAAGAAGAAGAGGAAGAAGAAGAGGAAGAAGAAGAAGAGGCAGCAGAAGAAGAAGAGGAAGAAGCAGAAGAAGAGGAAGAAGAAGAGGAAGAAGAAGGAAAACAGTAAAAATCTAAAACAATGGCATTAACCTGAATCTATGTAAGTCAGATAACCACTTTGTTCCTATAAACCCCATATTCCACGTGTCTTTTTGGAAACGTCTATAGATGGCATTTCAGTGAAGTTGATAAATTTACCATACATGATAAAAGTGAAATAACTTGGTCCACACATGCAGTGTAATAATGCATCCTATCAAGATGGGGAACTCAGAGATGCAGACCCCCTGTAATGTGATGTAGGATCCACAGTAGTACAGAAACAGTGAGTGAGTGAGTTTAGTTTTACGCCGCACTCAGCAATATTCCAGCTATATGGGCGGTCTGTAAATAATCGACACTGAACCACACAATCCAGTGATCAACAGCATGAGCATCGATCTGCGCAACTGGGAACCGATGACATGTGACAACCAAGCCAGCGAGCCTGACAACCCGATTCCGTTAGTCGCCTCTTACGAAAAGCATGGGTTACTGAAGGCTCATTCTAACCCGGACCTTCACGGGTCAGTACAGAAACAACCCAGAGCAGTACAGAAGCAATCCATATAAGTACTTGTTTATTTATCAAAGCTGTTGACAACAAGCAATCACAAACTGTACATGTATATCATCTCATAACACATCCACCTCTATAAATATAACTTCAGTTTAATCAGTCTACAGGAAACAGTCTTTTGATGTAAAAGCAAACATGTTGATGTTAGAATTATGACATCTGTCTTATGGACGTTTACAGCCAGGCATCAAAATTTCAGTGACTAACTCTTTGATATTCTGGGTGCGGGTGTTAATTAAAATTATTTGAGATCCTATTTAAGCAATAAATGCTAACCAGATACTTTTAAAGCCATGAACCTGAATATTTATTTTTTAAAAACATCAGAAATTGCAACAACTTTTTTGTATGGGGAAAAGTTATATTTTTGAACTGTCTGAATCCTATAAATTCTTTTAGAGAATTCTTTAAGACAGTTATGTTTGTTTATATAAAATCCCAGACCTCTGTCTCCATAACATAAACAGTTCGCTCTTTCAGTAAATATATAAAGATAACAACCTTTACATGTACCACTAACCTAATGCTTAACGTCAATTGTCTATTTCTTGCCAATCATTATAATTCAGACTCTGAGACTGACTTATAATTGTAAAACCTTTTGGCACATTACAAACACAGTACTGAATCTAACAAACAATGAAACAAATGCATTTACTCTTCACAATTTAAAAGCACTTTCTGCTAGAAGGCATAATGACGATGACATTTTCCTCCAGCCATGAGTCTTTCTTTACAGTGAAACAGTCACTGCCTTCCTTCCCTCTCACTGACTGTGTGGAGGTGTGGGGCATGTAGGGAGCGGCCATATGGCTGTTTAGGGATAATGGAGTGTGGGATTTGAGGGGTGTTGGGCATGTAGGGCTGTGGCATGTAGGGCATTGGCCTGTGTGGTGTGTGTGGGCTGAGGGTGGGTGAGGGGGGTTGTAGGGATGTGGGGGTTTGTGGGGCATGTAGGGCTGTGGTGTGGGTGGGGCTGCAGGAGGTGGAAGGTGTGTGGGGGTGGGAGTGGGTTTGGGGTTGGGGTATATGGGTATGTTAGAGATATGTGGGGAGGTTTGGGGGGTTGGGGATATAAGGTGTGTGTGGAAGTGTAGAGGTGTGGGTGTTTTTGGGGATATATAGAGGTGTGTAGGGGTGTGGAAGTGTAGAGGTGTGGGGGTTTGTGGGTGTGGGTGTTTGGGGATATAGAGGTGTAGGGGTGTGTGGAAGTGTAGAGGTGTGGGGTGTGTGGAGTTTGGGGATATTTGGGGGTGTAGAGGGTGTGGAGGTGTGGAGGTGTGGGGGTTTGTTGGGTGTTTGGGGGGATATAGAGGTGGTGTGTGTGTAGAGGTGTGGGGTGTGTGGGGTGTGGGTGTTTGGGGATATAGAGGTGTGTAGGGGTGTGTGGAAGTGTAGAGGTGTGGGTGTTTGTGGGGTGTAGGATGCTGATTGGGGTTACAATGCCATGGCCAGCCAGGCAAAGATGATCATCATGCCACCGTAGGGGGTAATGTATCGTACTGATGTGTTTCCACTCAGGGCGTGGTAGTAGCAGCTTCCGGAGAACAACAGCATGCCCATTGACATCATCGAGCCCACCTGAAACATAGATACATGATTAGTGGGGGCAGTGATGATCCCACCTGAAACATAGATACATGATTAGTTGGGGCAGTGATGATCCCACCTGAAACATAGATACATGATTAGTGGGGGCAGTGATGATCCTACCTGAAACATGGATACATGATTAGTGGGGGCAGTGGGAAACAGTGATGATCCCACCTGAAACATGGAACATGACATGGGGGCAGTGATGATACATGATTAGTGGGGGCAGTGATGATCCCACCTGAAACATGGATACATGATTAGTGCGAGCAGTGATGATCCCACCTGAAACATGGATACATGATTAGTGGGGGCAGTGATGATCCCACCTGAAACATGGATACATGATTAGTGGGGGCAGTGATGGTCCCACCTGAAACATGGATACATGATTAGTGCAAGCAGTGATGATCCCACCTGAAACATGGATACATGATTAGTGCGAGCAGTGATGATCCCACCTGAAATATGGATACATGATTAGTGGGGGCAGTGATGATCCCACCTGAAACATGGATACATGATTAGTGGGGGCAGTGATGATCCCACCTGAAACATGGATACATGATTAGTGCAAGCAGTGATGATCCCACCTGAAACATGGATACATGATTAGTGACAGTGATGATGCGAGCAGTGATGATCCCACCTGAAACATGGATACATGATTAGTGGGGGCAGTGATGATCCCACCTGAAATATGGATACATGATTAGTGGGGGCAGTGATGATCCCACCTGAAACATGGATACAGTGCAGTGAGTGGCATGTGTGGCAGTGATCCCACCTGAAACATGGATACATGATTAGTGGGGCAGTGATGATCCCACCTGAAACATGGATACATGATTAGTGCGAGCAGTGATGATCCCACCTGAAACATGGGATAAAGTGTCAGTAGTGGTTGTGATGATCCCACCTGAAACATGGGATAAAGTGTTAGTGGGGGCAGTGATGATCCCACCTGAAACATGGGATAAAGTGTCAGTAGTGATTGTGATGATCCCACCTGAAACATGGGATAAAAGTGTGATAGTGGGGCTTGTGATGATCCCACCTGAAACATGGGATAAAGTGTTAGTGGGGGCAGTGATGATCCCACCTGAAACATGGGATAAAGTGTTAGTCGGGCTTGTGATGATCCCACCTGAAACATGGGATAAAGTGTTAGTGGGGGCAGTGATGATCCCACCTGAAACATGGGATAAAGTGTCAGTAGTGATTGTGATGATCCCACCTGAAACATGGGATAAAGCACATAATATCTTTGAGATGACCCCTTGTGCCTGTAGGCAGCACGTGCATTTCATGCCAGGTGAGTCGACGGTCCGTCGTCATACCTGGCTGAGCGACCTATTTGCCATCTATAGTCTGATCTATTGTTTTCAGCAGCTATTCATATTTTTTGTAAGTTTTGCCCAATTTTACGAGTAAACATGCTTTTCTGGATATCGTAATACGCATCCCACTGAATGCCAAGTTAGGCCGAAGTGGGTTATTTCGACATATGCTATTTGCAATTGTGTCAATTTTAGGGATACAGAGTAACAGCCTAAACAGTTTTTACTATTTCCGACAGTACTTTAGGTAGTCAGGTCAGGTTATTTTATTACAACTTAAAGGGAATTGTTAATGTAAATGTAGCCGAGGTCGCCTGGGAATTTCGGCTCTGGGCCGTTGGGTACAAGACAAAACAATGGTAATGATGTGAGTTTATTATGAGGCTGTTGCTGAGGTATCTGAAGAAAGAGAAGATGTTTCCACCTCAGCAACAGCAATTGGAGTCTCTAAACAATTAACTCAATATTAAATTAACATTAAATATAATATTATGCATTGTAAACAAGTATCACAGTTAGCCAAGGTAATAAATAAACTTTTTGCAAAACAAATCTATAAATGTATTGAGAGCACATGGTCAATGCACATGGTCAATACAATGTATACAAGTTATTACTAATTAATTGCTTAAAGTTTAAGATTATAAATTAAATATTACCCTTAATAGTTTTAAATTACAGTTTGAATTAATTTAAGCACCTTTGTATAGAAGTTAAGATGAAATTGAGGCAGATGGAAAAGGATTAGAAAATGGCCATACCTGAAGAAAGAAAAGATGTTTCCACCTCAGCAACAGCAATTGGAGTGAGGTGGAAGACAGGTAGGCCAAAGGAAGTACACAGAGGGACACAATAGCCAATTAGAGGACAGATAAGAATCAAAGGTAACCTTTGATGTGACTTATAAACAGTCTAGGGAAAGCCCAGAGGATGGGTACTGAATCAAAACTAGAACAGAGGTGAAGGGAAATCCTTGTCACAAGGCTCCAGGAAACAGATAAAAAGGTGACAATTAAGAGAGACGGCGTTCAACGGCAAACACGGACAACAAATGGACATTTAACGTATAGTGATATGAAAAGATGGCTGATGCAACAAATGGAATCTTGATGAAAGATGAACATACAATTAAATAAAGAAAACATACCAAGATATATACAAAAGATCAAGTCAGTTATCCCTGCTACATAAAGTAAAGTGTTTTACTTTTACAAATATATGAGATATATGGACAATACTAGTACGGTGATAAATGCTTTGGTGCAACTTGAGAATAACAATTGATTACTGCCTGGAGTCCGCTCCCTAGACCACGGAGGCCATTTAACTTACCAGCACGGGTCTGCGAGCCATGGGAGTCCCCATAAGGGCCACAGAGTGGACTAGATGAATCATGTAACCAGTTCTGAAGGTCTGAAACAGCAAGATGATGTAGAGTTGCAAAACACATTCACAGTTGAATTTGTAAGCATTAATTTGAGGTCAAATAGACTTTCTTTGCATGGACTACATCGGAATATGTATGATTATTATAGGAGTGTCAGTTTTAAATTTAGCTCCCTTTAGCTGGTGCAGAAGCGTCAGTGTGAAGAGATTGACAAGCCTGATGGAGTTACCTCCCTTCATTTCATCAACTTCATTTCACAATCCTGTGTGACAGTTTTAAGAATACCTTGAACAGATTCCTGCTATTAAAAAGAATATCCCCCTGAAAACAACAGCCTGACAACTCTTTATGCATATAGAATCAGATCTCGGGACAATCATTTTGTTATTAGATCTAAATTTCCATACTGATGGAAGTTTGTGTTTACAGATCCCTGGGGGTAATCTGGGGACGGTGTTAGTTCCAATACTTGCTGGAAGTGACTAAATGAGTTCACAGAGGCACCAGCTGAGCAGGAAGTACGGAGAACGGAGGGTGGGGGAGGGACAGAGGATGGGAAGGGGAGCACAAAATGACTGAGGTGGAAAATCTTTGGTCAAATCAAATCAATCTTTATGTCGTACTGAAGAGGCCACAGGCCTATAGTACATATACATATATATAATGGGGAATTACATAAATAAATATATTTACATTACAGTGATAAAACTTTTGTTCTATACAACATTGCAATGTGGATGAACATGGCAAGATTTTGTAATATATTTTGAGTTTTACTGCTTATAAGGGTAGAGAATTTTATGATGCTTGGATGGATATAGTAATATCTTTTAATGTATTTACAACGTATTGAATTATATGATGGACAGATGAGGAGAAAGTGATATTCATCTTCAATTTCATTTAAACGACAAAGTGTACATATTCTCTCTTCTCTTTTAACATTTTTATATCTGCCGCTTTCAATCAACAAATCGTGAGATGAACATCGAATCTTGCTAGTGATCGCCTAAATTTCTTTATATTAACACATGATAAGTATACTTCATTGAATAGATCTTTTTTAAATTTTGAATAGTAAAAACATTTACTTGACAAAGATATTTTCTCACACCATGTTTGAAGATATATGTCTTTAAGTCGGTACTAATGGGATGGTTAAAATTACAATGTGACAGATAAGTTCCTGTACCCTGGGACATTTAGAAATGAAATTTGTTTATGTAACACCTTGTGATATTACTTCAAACCAGTGGCTCATGTTCTTTTGAACAAGAAAACTGGACAAGTACATAAATTCAACATAAAATGTAGATAAAATGATTATTCCAATCATTAGTTTTCCAGTGTTGCACAAAGAAATTTCGGACGGATCATTATGGCGAAATTTTTAAAATTTATTCCAATCTAACTAAACAAACAGTTATCTCAGCGCTAAAATAGCCTGTTAGTTTTGTTTATAACCTTGTTAAATCTCAGGGGTGGAAATAACCCATTGCCCGACGTCCGAGTCCAGTGTTTTTTTCTGTCAGGCAAGCAAATTTGTATATCACACTGTACCAGTGTCCAGTTGACTTTCCAATGTTAATTATGTTGTTTATTTAAAAAATCAACAAGAAAACGGTTGGTATAGTGGAAAAATTATCAGGGCAAGTGATTTTACATGTGCCACTGTTCCGGAGTACACTAGCAATTTTAAAGTTATTTCCACCCCTGAATCTATAAAAATATTATGCCAAAAAATAATATGGGAAGGGGAGGGGTAATTGATTTTGTACATGACATGGAGGAGGGTCACATACTTTGTACATAGATTTTAGGGAGGTCACCACATTGTACATGCTTTGTCCATAAAAATCATCATCACCCCCAGTCATAAATAATGAACGGTCCCTAAACCTGATGTGACATAGTATTTAGTAGTGTAAGCACTGTATGACAGATATTTTACTGTAAACAAGAGGTGAGGAGGGTATCAACTGCTTGTTACTATAGGCAGGAGGGGTATCAACTGCTTGTTACTATAGGCAGGAGGGGTATCAACTGCTTGTTACTATAGGCAGGAGGGGTATCAACTGCTTGTTACTATAGGCAGGAGGGGTATCAACTGCTTGTTACTATAGGCAGGAGGGGTATCAACTGCTTGTTACTATAGGCAGGAGGTAACTAGTGGTGGTTCGATTAATTGAAATATTTCACAAGATTGGTTGGTTTTGTCTGTTACATTTCATCAGCACTACAAGCTCTTCCAAGTCATGATTGAATATATCTTAAAGACTCTAAGAAATTTATGTTCCTTACATACTCGTCATCCTTTAAAGAATGAAAATTTGCACCAAAAACCCAAAGAACTACATGGGTTTTTTCCTTATTTGAGCATTAACAAAAATAACCAGGAACATTTCATAAATGACGCTAACCAATTATTTTCGATGATTGATTGGTTGCAATGAACCAATCATCAATTATGAGATTTTAACCAATTCCCAACACCAGTATCAACTGCTTGTTACTATTATCAAGAATGTTTCATTGACGTATTGACACTTCTCAGCACCTATTACGAAGAATATCTCATTCTGCTTTCTAAAGAACCATACAAGCATCTTTATGACTGCCTTGAAGTCAGTTTGCCAGTGTAAAAAGTGAGAGTGAGTTGGGCTCACTGCTGCTCTCAACATTCTTCAAGATATAACAGTATATCAGTTGATAGACCCACGGGAGGAAAACATAAAGTGATCAGGTCTGAGACGTCTAACACTTTGGTGAAACCCAAAATCACAGGTATTGCGTTGACAAACCTAGAAACATCACTGGGTGAAGCAGGATTCTAACTAATGAACATAGCCTCCTGGCATCCCCAAGGGATGCAACTCTGTACAGCAAATTGTGGTGTCTTAGATGACTTGGCCACTGCCTCCTGTCAGTCAAGATGTACTGTCAGGTTTGAAAATGGGCCCTCTTTTCTCTGAAAAGGACAGTGTGCGAAATAGCCACTAGCCCGCTAGCCCGTGGCTAGTAAAATTCCAGACAGCCAGTAAATCTCCACAGTAATTGGTACGACTGGCTAGTAAATTTTCATGGGGTCATTTGTAAATATATATATCACTCTCTCTGACTTGTTATTAATGTTAAGTCATAATACACTTTTAAATCATGCAACATTATGGCCTGATAAACATGTTCATCATATTAGCAGCGTAATGATGAAACCTGTGTCATACTGACAATGTCTTCTTCTCATCTTTTTTTGTAATCTTTTGCTTAGTTTCTACATTCAAATTTCGGGCTGGTGAATTATGTTGTGGGCTAGTAACTTTCAGGCATAGCTAGCAAAATTTGGAAAATATTTCGCACACTGAAGGATCATCTTACTAAAAACAAGCTGTAAAAACATGCTCATCCAGACACAAGCAACAGGCAGGGCTCGGTTTAAGAGATGTTAACCTACTTGCACCAGGTGCAACCTAAGATAAAAACCTAGTTGCACCAGCCAAATTCCAGTTGCACTGATTTTATGGTGAAATGAAAGAATGTAATGAAAGAAATATGCTACTTAGTTATTTAGATGTTTTATTCAGAAGTTTACCCACTCAAAAATTGACCTGCACCTGGTGCAAGTTAGAACAATAACTACGTTGCACTTTGTAATATTGGCTAGCATCAGTGCAAGTAACACAGCACTAAATCGAGCCCTGACAGGCTATTGTGATGAATGGCACACCATGCACCCTTCATTCTTCCACACACTTGACATACTGACTGAGTTTGGTGTTACGCCGCTTTTAGCAATATTCCAGCAACATCACGGCGGGGGACACCAGAAATGGGCTTCACACATTGTACCCATGTTGGGATTCGAACCCAGGTCTTCGGCGTGACGAGCCAACACTTTAACCACTTGGCTACCCCACCGCCCCCACACACTTGACATACTAACCCATGTAACCTGTGGCTGGAATATTGCTGAGTGTGGCGTTAAACAACAAACAAACAAAACATATAATACCCCTCCTGCTATTTACTGTAAAATATCTGTCATACAGTGGACCGCCTCTGTGGTGTAGTGGTTAGAGCGTCCGCCCGGTGAGCGGAAGGTCGTGGGTTCGATCCCCGACCGCGTCATACCAAAAGACGTTAAAATATGGTACTTGTTGGTCCCTGCCTCGCGCTCGACATTAATGGGTACATGAAGGACTGGTCCGCTCGGAGTCCGTATAATGTGTGTGAGTGGGGTATTCATGCTTCACGGCGGCATGGTATCTCAGTGGGCTAGCACTATAAACCAGCTTAAGTCTGGGCTAGTACACGCAGCCGCTCATACACATACACACGCATGCACGTCGTCATATGAGTGAAATATTCTCAAGCATGAAGTTAAAACCCAATTTCACCTCACCTCACCTCACCTCATACAGTGCATTGTCAAGCAACAAACAAACTAAGCTAGATTTTCAAGGGTTGGTACTTCAAATACTATTGGTTAAGAAACTATCATATTTTACCTCTTTTAATCTTTCATCAGCATCGCTGGGACGGAAAACTGAAATATAGAAAATACACAATGACAGTGTGTACATTATATCTTAACTGAATAAATTCCGGAGTAGAAAATGTAGAAAGTAACAATCTTACATAAATATGATTGATTTTTTTAATTAGCAAATTTTTGATATTCTCAAAGTGAACTATCTGTATTTTTCACGTTTATCAGTCACCCCGACACCATTCTGCCATAGTCACTGAATTAGTGAGTGAGTGAGTTTAGTTTTACGCCACACTCAGCAATATTCCAGCTATATGGCGGCGGTCGGTAAATAATCGAGTCTGGACCAGATAATCCAGTGATCAACAGCATGAGCATCGATCTGCACAATTGGGAACCAATGACATGTGTCAACCAAGTCAGCGAGCCTGACCACCCGATCCCGTTAGTCCCCTCTTATGACAAGCATGGGTTACTGAAGATCAATTCTAACCCCGATCTTCATGGGTCCACTGAATTAGTGTGCTGCATGTTAGTTTTAAAATGTGATTCAAAGAGTCAAATCTACCGCTATTAACTCTGTATTACAAGTACAGTAAGCTTCAGGCATTCGACAACTTCTGTGAGTAATCTTTGGTGTAAGCTAAACCATGAGTGGAGAGCCATGCCTACTGTTTTGAAAGGGTTGTTGTTGGAGGGTTCTGGGTTGGAATAGTCCCATGTTCTAGGTGTTTCATTTCCCAGCATAAAATACCCCTTGTGATACAAACCGATAATAGCGATTTGAAACTATGATTGTTTGTTAAACAACTTTTATCGTAAGTTGAATAAAGTTCTGTGATTTAAATGTTCAATTGGCAAGGTAAAATTATGAGGATTCGTAATCTTAATTTCACTTTATTTGATTTATCTTTTTGTGTAAAGTGAAATTCATTGGTACGTTTTCACTGCAATCAGACTATACTTGCTTTATCTTCTTGTCAAGAAGCTTATAACAAACTGTGGCTGAAACAAACTGCACTTGGGGTCTGTTGGAGTATGTAATAACAGTACTTGACTGTATAAGTGTCTCAAAAGCATCAAGCATCAAGGACAAGATATTTGACTAACTACAGTGGAGGCGGAAATAAAGACAAGGCTAACCAGTGGTCGAAGTATGAACACCCATCAGGTCTTGTTTAGTGCTTTGTTACTTGTACTGGTGCAACCCAATATTACAAAGTGCAACCTAGTTATTAGTCTAACTTGCACCAGGTGCAAGTCAATTTTTGAGTGGGTAAACTTCTGAAGAGATCTAAATAATTCAATAGCATATTTCTTCCATTACAAATTGCAATAAAAGCAGTGCAAATGGAGGTTTTTATCTTAGGTTGCACCTGGTGCAAGTAGGTTTTTATCTATTGAATCGAGGCCTGCCCATCCATGCCACCACAGAAGATGGCTAGTTACTGCACTAAACAGTACATCGCCATCATAAATCAATGGATTACTTTAGAGTCAGACTAGTGGTCTGTGCCAAATGCTTTGAGATGACTAACCCACAGCATAACGTAAATGGATTCTAGTTAATTTATGCAGAGTTTATGAGCTGATCATACCAGACTGATTGGAATTTTACTGCTCTCCGGTTTAAGACTTACGCCTCAAGTCACAGGCTGTGGTGGACAATACCTCTGGTCAAAATGGACCATTGCTAGTCTGTTTCTCATTTCATTCTCTTCTTACAAGGCTGTGTACTGGGGACATACTGGCCAACCTCCACTGAACTAACACTTCTCACTGAATAAATACTGTTAAATGTGGCCAAAAACAAAACTCACCCACTCACTCTCTCATCCTTTGATGACACTGTCATCTTGGTCCCTAATGCACTGTATTATTTAAGAATATGAATTGGCATCTTGGCATCTTGGCAACAGAATTATTTTCTCAGCATTCTAGAAGTTGGTGAGTCAATAATAATGCATACAACTTTATGGACGAGAAGTTATTATCAGTCATATGTTTTATTATTGGCAATAGTGAAATAAAAAAAAAACAAGTCAAGAACAGGGTGGCCTTAACCAGAGCTACAGCTTATTGAGAAGATGCTGAAGTATTGATATGATATTAATCAGACTGCTACATCTCTTGGTTGAACATAAACCGTATGACACTTGTTTGGTAAACACTGCACCCAGAGTGAGTGAATGAGTATGGTTTTACGCCGCTTTTAGCAATACTCCAGCAATATCACGGCAGGGGACACCAGAAATGGGCTTCACACATTGTACCCATATGGGAAATCGAACCAGGGTCATCGGTGTGACGAGCGAACGCTTTAACCACCAGGCTACCCCACTGCCCCCACTGCACCCAGAAGAGTTACACAAGGCAATCACAATTGTATTGACTAGGACAGGACAAAACTCACCTTTTTATGACATAATTATGACACCATGCTTCCATGTTACTAATCATCAATATCCTCGGATTATGTGTTTTGGACATCATTCAGTTTTGGACAGCTGCATTTACAGTTTACTCTTGCTATAACTAGGCGAGTACTGTCACACAGACATTGTAAATACTCGGATGATGGCTTGTGTTTATGATATACATATAGTGGTGTGATATATACTGTCTTTAATGAGTCAGTGACGTTTTACAATTGTTCATGCGATAATCGGAAAACAAAAGATTTCTAAGGCGTCCGAAAACGCACAATCGAGGATATATTTAGCATAACGCTATCATCTGCAGAACGAAGATGCTAAGAAGTCAAAAGGCCCACCGTGAGCGCCGTACGCTCCCATCGCCACGGCGATAGCACCTGACAAGCCGGCGAGGCGATAAAATGCACTTGGTCGAGGCATTTCAATCTCTCGGATTATCACTTTTTCGACCTCCTTAGATGATGGCAGTCCTGGAATATAACTATAAACTGTCGAAAGCAGGCCTTGTGTGACTTTCAAAACATCGGCCATGCTCTAGTCGAGCAGACAGCGAAGTCCACAGGGTTTCAATGAAGATAAGATAAACTGTCGTGGACAACTTTGAGCGAGCGGTGATTGGTGTAAGGGAGATAACTCTAACTTATTCTCAAACATTTGCCACTTGTACAAGCAAAAGCGGTTTGCTGTTTTTGTTTCGAAAGAAACATCGAAATCGTTAACAAGAAGCACTTAGAGTTTTTACTCGCAAGGTATTACATGTACCTAACCCTTGTCTAAAAATATCCACATAAGTTCGCGAGTGAGTCAATTATCTCCCTTTATGCACTCTCGGGTATGTGAAACAAAGGAAATTAGAACTTCCGGGAAATATACGTTTCGGTACAGTTTTGGACGTGTGTGTAACTATCGTCTACAACTCGCAGAGACAGTAGTGCGCTTTTATACTGATAGCAAGAAAACATGGCGCTTGATTTGAACAAAACAGATCTGTATCGTTTGCTTGGAGTTGGAGAAGATGCCACCGAAAAAGAATTGGTGAAGGCCTACAGAAAAGCAGCCTTGAAATGTCACCCTGATAAAAATCCGGACAATCCAGATGCGGCCAATGAGTTTCAGAGACTTTCTAAAGCTCTCGAGATCCTCTCTGATGTTGCAGCAAGAGCTGCTTATGATAAGACGAGAAAAGCCAAGAAAGCGGCCGAGGAACGTCACAAAGTACTTGACAGCAAGAGAAAAAAGTTCAAAGAAGATTTGGAAGCGAGGGAACGAGCGTCTCAAGACCAGAAAGCAGACGATTTCCGGGCTCAGAGAAATTTAGAAGCTGAAATTGAAAGACTAAGAAAACAGGGCTCTTCACTTCTTGAACAAGAGCAGGAATATTTAAAGGAACAGTTAAAAAAGGATAGAGAAGAAGCCATAAAAAATATACAGAAAAACACGAAAGCGAATAAAGAGGAAGAAATTTCAACTGTTTCACCCAAACTGAAAGTCACATGGTCAGCAGAGAAGCGTGATGATAGCAATGGTGGATATTCACATGGAATGTTACGTGCTATGTTAGGAAAATATGGAGAAGTGAGTGCTCTTGTTATTTCAGGGACCAAGAATAGGACGTGCCATAGTTGAATATAAATCTCCCAGAGCAGCAGATATGGCTTTTAAGAGTGAAAGAGGTTTACAGGAGAATCCTTTAACTCTCAAATGGTTATCTGGTAAACCAGAAACACCGACTTATGAGACTGTGAGTCTGTCACATAGTGATGCAAGTCCTCAAATGCCTTCATTTCCCACAGAAAGTGACAGTGTTTCTTTCACCGCAGTTCCAGAAAAACCTAAGCAAACAAGTTTTATACCCAAAACGAGCCATGAGAGAGATTTTGAAAGCCTAGTTTTAATGAAGATGCGGCAAGCAGAGGAGAGGAAGAGACTTATTGAACAGATGCAAAAAGAAGATGAAGAATCATGATGTGTTATCTTTATATTATCATCATTATCATTATAGTCAGAACATCATGAAGTGAATGATCAACAGAGGAAGACACTTATTGTTGGAACAGTCATAACAATGAGATTAACATGATTAACGAAGGAAAGTTCAACATGTAAACATGGTAAAGAGAGAAAAGATTGGTGTAGATTTTGTCATGTTGATCCCACTTTGTGTACTGTACATGGTCAGGATGTGTATGTTCCAAGCAATACCAGTGGTAATTAGTGTTAAGAAATGGTTAAAATCTCATAATCGATGATTGGTTCATTACAACCGATCAATCATTGAAAATAATTGGTTAGCGTCATTTATGAAATGTGTTAATGCACAAAAAAATAAGGAAAAAAATGTAGTTCTTTGGGGCAAAATTTCACATCTTTAAAGGATGACTAGTATGGAGGAACATAAATTTCTTAGAGTCTTTAAGATAAATTCAATGATGACTTGGAACGAGCTTGTAGTGCTTATGAAATGTAACAGACAAAACCAACCTAGTGAAAAATACTGTTAATGAAAACAAGTGTTCTAGAATTGTTTGTGTTCGATTATGAGAAAACATGATCGATTGCTTGGTCGTTTAGTCACTGCGACCAATCTTCGATTATTTCAATTAATCGAACCACCCCCAGTGGTAATTCTCCACCACCCTGTTACACCAAGGTATCTTCGCGCAACATAATTCATAAGCCTATGTCAAAGTGTTGGAGTGGTGATCACCTTAGCAATATGGGTGTACTCCTGGTTTCCCAACATTTGGAAACTTAAGTAAACAGAGGGATTAGAGGATTAAGAACTGTGGGACACACTCACATTTATTGTAGGGGTGACATTTTGGAGATGGTGACTCAAACATAACAAATCGGAGTGGATTGTTAAGTAGTTGTGTATTACATCTCTGACACTGTATCATCATTCAACATCAATCAACATCATTCAACATCAATCACATCATTCAACATCAATCACATCCCATAATTTTATTTTAACCTTTCTTTTGGCCATCTAAATCACTGTTATTGGTTTATTTCGGCGTGGTCGAAAATAGGACTATATAAATCTTTTGAAAAAAGATGCATTTCACCTAAATATGAATGCATTTGAGAATTCCTTTTCGTGAATTGCATAAAGCTATGTTGTTATTGTTAAGCTTTCTTGTAAAGTAATACCTTCTAACAATCTTTGATAGATATACATCAAGTTTGGTGAACACATTTCAGTTTGACGCAAATTAAGCAGTCCAACCTGACACCCCTACCAAGTGTGTGCCCATACTAATCCTTCTATTGTCCTATGCCTGGCTGATTTTGTTGGTTTAAGAAATGTTGGGAAACCAGGGGCACCCCAGCAATATGTGTTCCACTATTTGATGGGCGAGACTTACAATGCTTCACTGGACATGGTCTAGAGTGTCCATGGTCATGCTGACCAGGAGTACAGCAGATTTTGAAACTTGCATAAATCCATGAAAAGTACATCACATAACGATCAAGGAGGTTCACATGGCATGTGAAGTTACATGCTGAATTAAAATTTATATGCTGCATGCAGTCATCATTTAGGTAATATGTTTTAGACATCTTCCTGTCAGAATGTAAACTGGTCCACTTGTTGCCAATTTAGCAATAAAAAGTAATAAATGGCTGTGTGTTATAATAAACTTCTTTGCATGCTAGAATAATATTTTTCTAAACCAGTTTGTGATTTAACAAGTTCATCATGCTAATTCACAGTGACTAGTACTGGAGCGATTAGTCCAGAGACTGATGTTCATAAAAAATGAAATGAAATTTTAGAAAGTATGTTTCTTATTGTTGTGTTTGTTCAATCAAGACATAAATAACTGATGCAGTTGTCTGACTCACAAAAATGCAATGACAGTTGCACACGGGCCTCAACAGGAAGTATCCTTGATTATCATGGTATTAATCGGTGCATGTTTTGTTTGTACCATGTTTTGTTTGTACCATGTTATGAATGTATCCCATTATTGCCCAGGGGCGGTGGGGTAGCCTAGTGGTTAAAGCGTTGGCTCGTCACGCCGAGGACCCGGGTTCGAATTCCCACATGGGAACATTGTATGAAGCCCATTTCTGGTGTCCCCAGCCGTGATGTTGCTGGAATATTGCTAAACGCGGCGTAAAACCAAACTCACTCACTCACTCATTATTGCCCATATGAGTTTTGTGTTGGGGTTTACGATTACAATCAATTTATTATTGATCTATTCAGGACTACGGTGCTCTCTGTTGGCCTCTGTACCTGGATGGTCCAGTGCGTAGAGCATCTTTCCAGATTTCCCAACATGACGCTTGGAATTAAGCATATTACTGGATGTACCAACCTCTCTTCCCCAACACAAAACACACACATAGCAGGCACAGAAGGACAGAAAGAGTGCTTTAACTTTGTAACTTAACTATACAAGCATAATAACCTTGACCCGTACAAGCATAATAACCTTGAACCATACAAGCATAATAACCTTGAACCATACAAGCATAATAACCTTGAACCGTACAAGCATAATAACCTTGAACCGTACAAGCATAATAACCTTGAACCGTACAAGCATAATAACCTTGAACCGTACAAGCATAATAACCTTGAACCATACAAGCATAATAACCTTGAACCTGATGTTCAATCGCATTTCACTTCATCTGTAACTGGAGAATGGTCAGGCGAAGAAAGAGTCTTGGGAAATACACTGCTCCACTAGACATTAGCAGAATAGTTTGGATTCATCCACTTAAAAATATAATCATGACAATTACATTATGTAATTATGTTTGCACAAGTTGCTTTGATTTGAGATTAATTTTAAAATACTAGATATTATTTTGTTTTTAAAGTGCAGAATTGGCATGGGTTTTGACTAATTCAAATTTTCATTTATTTAAAGTTTGAAACTAATATACTTTAATTTGGTATAGTTTTTGTAGTTTTAGCTTTTTGTTTTTCAAATACTAACAAGAATAAAGAAAAAAAAGTATATCACTATAAAATGCCATTGAAAATAAACACGCATGATGTACAGAAACACTCCTAGAGTTACAGCCAATTCACTTCCCAAACAATGTAGTCTGTCCATGAACCATATAATTTCCCTTCCAACAAGCCCTTACTGCAACATGTAAACGCCCTAAATGAAGCAAGTCTAGAATCTCCCACCTCATTGGGGCTCCTTTTCAGTTTAAATGAAGTTCTTTATTTCAGTCACAAATATATTTTCAGAGATTAAGCGTTGGTCTACAATGAGTGGAAAGAAGCATCTCGCGTGTTGAACAGAGCAAAAAATAGAATTCAATAAAAAGTTTATTAACCAAGACATATTCCACTCGTGTCATTTTGAATGGGGTATCGTGTCAGCCCGCCCGGAAAGAAATTGGAGTTACCTCCCTTAGTACGTCGTCTGCTCGGGAAACGTCCGGCTCAATCTTGACACTGTCTCCTGAACCGGTGAGTGAGTATGGTTTTACGCCGCTTTTAGCAATTCTCCAGCAATATCACGGCGTGGGGACACCAGAAATGGGCTTCACACAGTGTACCCATTTTCGAAATCGAACCCGTCTTTTCGGCGTGACGTGCTAATTAACGTTTTAACCACTAAAGTACTGTCGGAAATGCTAGAAAATTGCTTTTTGACTTATATTTAAAATTCAGAGGTATTACAGTTACTTAAATAACAAATATCACGAGGGAATAAATTTTGAGACATGCCCTAAAATGTGATTTTACTGATGAAAATACCAAAAACTTAGAAAAATTAGGTGTAGTGGGACGTTATTTGATACAAACATTAACTGCCTGTGTTACGTCATCAGCATGCACGGTATCGACAGGTGAAATTGACACCTGAGCACACGCTCGGGCGAGGGGTCATCTCAATAGATGTTTTCTTCAAAATGTTGAATATGTGTACGTATAGTATACGTATTGGTTATGTAAGGGATCATTTGTGTATGTGTGTTTGTTGTGAAATAAACATACGAATTACTGTACATTGGAAAGAATCCTATCACTTGTGTTATCTTATCGATTGATTGTAGAAATGTGCAACGTTTTAATAAATGTTTTGCATGTCAACAGTATATTTCATTGCAAAAATATGGATGTAATTCGGTCAGTTTAATCTAGTTGTGAACATTGGCCAAATATTTAACGAAGTCACTGGTGTAGCTTCTTTAGAATATATATATTCTTCTTCTCATAAAGTTTGTATACCGCCCGTCTAAGTACTCCCTTGTCAGAGTTGTCAAGGATGGCTTTACGTCCCGGAACTGTCTTGTCTGATTTGTTTACAATATTGTAAACTTGTTGGTAAGACAAACCACGAGCTCTACAAGCTCTGTAATAAACCATTTCTATACTAATGAAAGGTTTACCTCTGCCTTTTTCAAGCACAAAATCTTATAAACCTTTGCAACAATCGTCTGCAAATAGTTGGCCATAGTGGACGCTGTGATAAAGATGTGCATGCATGACGGAAACTTATTTATAAAGACTTAACATTTATATTAATATTTCTTCAATAAAGAAACGATAATTAAGTAAAGTAACACAAACATTCAACATTTATTTGTTTAAGAAAAACGTTAATTTATATTTTTACACCACCTGTATTATTAGCATAAATGTAAAGACTATTTCAGATTTCTGTTGTTGAACTCTGAAAAAATCTTAAGTTGCTGTTTTGGTACCAAATTCTCTCCTGTAAACTGCCCTTTAAATGCATGGGAATGTTAAATCAATTGAAATAAAAATTAGGTACACTATAGGTGAGTTGATATATTGACAACATAATACATTTATCACCTTTCTAAAGATATTAAGGCTAAAAAGCATTTTTCTAGCATTTCCGACAGTACTTTAAGCTACCCCACCCAACCTCCCACAAATAAGGTGAAAGTGTTTTACATTCACTCGCAAATAGGTTTAGTTTACAACTTTTTGTAGTATTTGATTAAATATTTTTGTTAACCGAGCGTAAGTTAGGAAAGTACCCCCAATACAGCGCTGATCCTTACATGTTACACAAAGTGTGTGTGGGAGAAACAAGGGCTTCGTGTATTGCTGTAACGCACATTTATGAGAGATTAACAGGTTGTATCTTGTTTGACAGGGATGTCACTTAACATTTTCACTGTACGTAAGAGGACAAAGTTCATACAGTGTATGAAATAAGGCCCGTCCGACCGCCCGAGACGGGCTAGATTTCTGTCGGACGGTCTAAGTACAGCTAACCCGGCCCGATGGACGGGTGAATTTTTTTTATTCAGATAACATGTCCAATGGCACTCTCTATTTAGTATATAAGAAGGACTGGTTAAATCTCTTCTGGGCTGTAAGTTTTTGAAGTTACCAGCCCAAATGTCTGGCTGGGTTTTTGGCTTATTTCATACACTGGTTTATAGTACGCTTTACACATCCAAAGTGTTCCTTGTCACCGTCAAAGTTGCGTTGCAAGTGTTTAATTTAGACCTATATTACACATCTATCAACTGCGAGACAGAGCCTCAAATAAGCTCCCGCCTACGGAGCTTCATCATGCTCTAAACCAGTTGTCTCTATGCTGGTTAAGATTCCCCAAGATGAGACTTCCAGATATGTCAGCAGAGAGGTTCAAACTGTGAATATGTACACTATTGAAATAGAAATAGCCACGCAAATTACAAAGATACAATCCCAAGAGAGTTTGCATCGTAATAATAAGCACATGACCCATTTTTAATTTTTCAATCCATTCTAACAGTAAATCACACGTATGGTTGGTTACTTGTTTTATTTATCGGCCCGATATCTGAAGGCAAGCGACCCGTGAAGATTCGGGTTGTATGTTTTATGCTCTTTTACCACTGTCATTTTAATTCATGTGTACATTCACGTGACACAATGATAAAATATTGTGTCTGTCTGTCAGTATTGCAGCTGTTGACGGAGCACAGTTGCTTTCTGTCCTCTGGTCTTCAGTAACCCATGCTTGTCATAAGAGGCGACTAACGGGATCGGGTGGTCAGGCTCGCTGGCTTGGTTGACATATGTCATCGGTTCCCAATTGCGCAGATCGATGCTCATGCTGTTGATCACTAGATTGTCTGGTCCAGACTCGATTATTTACAGTCCGCCGCCATATAGCTGAAATATTGCTGGGTGCGGCGTAAAACTAAACTCACTCACTCACTCTAAGGTCAACAGTATCTCCAAGTGCGAGATCTGCTACACATGTCTAGTTGTGAACTGACTTTGTCATTTCAACATGTACAGTTGTTAGATCATCATGAGTGGCTACGGGAATTGTGGAATGACCAGGGTAATCCTAACGGTAATAAGCTACGCACATATAGTCAGTTTAAGTACACTGTTACTCCAGAACCATGCATAACTTCTATACTGCCCAGATGGCACCGTAGCGTTCTAGGTAAACTACGCTGTGGTACACTTCCATTAGAACTAGAACGTGGTGGAACTAAGACGCCACTGGCAGACAGGCTTTGTCGTCACTGTAGTGGTCAGGCTGTCGAAAACGAAGTCAATTTATTAGTTAACTGCCCTTATCATTCTGATCTTCGATACGATTTGTTTCAGTAAGTGAGTGAGTGAGTTTTGTTTTACGCCGCTTTTAGCAATATTCCAGCAATA